ACTACTGAAAAAAAGGTCCTCATTCCTGAGGAGCTTTGTGATTTTACTGCTTACCTGTACAGAGCAATCTTTGAAAGGTACTGTGAAAAGATTAGTCTTAGAAATGTTGTATAGAAGAGACTTCTGCTTAAACTGCTACTTGGAATAAGATAATCACTAGCATTGGGTCAGGTCAGTGACTTTTAATAGAAACTACCTCTTCTGTAAGTATCCTCTTCCAGTGCTGCACTGCTCTTCTAATGAAGAACATTTTCCTAATGACCAACTTGAACCTTCCAAGGGGCAGTTTTGGGCCATAATGCTTTCTGTATCATCTGTGAAGGGTTTGATTCCATCATCTTTGTCACACCATGTAGTTACAGGCTCCCAGTAGATCCCCCTTGAGCTCTCTTCACCAAAATAAACAAGCACTGCTCCTTCAGCATCTCCTCCAGACCGGTAGCCTTTACAGCAGCCCTGCACTGGGCCCTCTCCAGTCTCCCAATGTCTTTGAACTGCAGGCCCTTTGGAAAGCATTATTAAAGGTGAGGGCTCACAAGCACTGAGTAGAAAGGGGTATAATGACTTTCCTGGATCTGCTGACCACATTGCTCATAATGTAGCTCAGTGCAACTGTTTACATTATTCATGATAAGAGAACTTTGCTTTAAGCAGCTCAACAGCCACTGTAGCCTCCATATCCTTTTTGGCAGATCTGAAACAAAAAGTTCCTTCCCTGTCTGCACTGGTGCTTTGGGATTTTTCTTTTCAGGTGCAGAATTTTGCACTTACGGAAAATTCTATAAAAGAAACTTCAAAAAGGCTTCTCTTGCCTAGGCTTTCCGTGTCTCATGGTGTTTGTGAGTTGAAGTTCCAGCAGTCAGCACAACAGCCACACCTCCCAATTTCATCTGAAAATCTACTGAGTGTACATTCTGTCTCCTTATCTGAGCTATTGATGGAGATAGACACTGGATAGTGTCTTCATAGCACTGATACAAGATACTGAACAATGTCTTTATTTGTTACTGTGCTCATTTCCAAACATCAACTGGACATCAAGATACTGATTCTGTTCCTTAAGCTTGGGATTCTGAACAATCCAGCCCCCCTACAGTCCTTTCATTCAGCCCATCCTTCATCATATTGTAAGTGACAATGCTTTTGGAAATGTGTCAAAAGCCTAACTAAAGTAAAACTTCATTGCATTCACTTCCCTCCCTTCATCTGCATGCCCAGTCATTTCATCACAGTGGGCAACCAGGTTAGTCAAACATGATTTGCTCTTGGTAAATCCTTGTTGACTTTTCTTGATTATTGTCTTGTCCTTTACATGCTGGAAATTGATTCCAAGAGGACATGCTCCACAATTTTTCCAAGGACTAAGGTGAGGTCAACCATTGTATGGTTCCTTAGATACCCCTCCTCACTCTTGTTTACTGTGTATGTAAAACTAACCTTTCTGCAGTCATCAAGGATGTTCTGTAATAGCAGTGATTTTTCACAGATGGTAACCAGTGGTGTTGCAATCACCCTGTCAGTGTTTCAACACCCATACAGATATCCCACCTAGTCTCATGTATTTGAACACACACTGCTTCTTCAGGTATCTACCAGCTTCCACCTTCCCCCTCTCCATAGCCATCCCTCTCCTTCCCAAACAGTACATGCAGGGGTCTGGGAACAGAGTTGGCCTGAAAAGTGAGATGCAAAAATGGATTCAAGTGCTGCAGCCTTTTCTGTATCATGTGTCACGGTCTTATCTCCCTTAGTAAGCAATAGACCATTTTCCTTGAATCTCCTTTTGATGCTCTGCATACTTACTTCTTGTATTCAAGATAACTTCTTGTTACCCCTGAATGTCCCCCATTAATTTTTGCTCCAGGTGGGGTTTTGTCCTTCCTAGTTTTGTTCATATGCCCAAACAATGTTTGTGTGCCTGTCCTTTGTTTCCTGTCATTGTTTCCACACATGTGCTCTCCATTTCCACCATTTCCACCTCCATATATGCTTTTCCAATTTTAGTTCATTAGGAAGCTCCTTACTCAGCCAAGTGGACCTTCTGCCTACCTTGTCTGTATGTGCTGATTCGTCACGTGTATCTGGGTTAGGTCTGTGTTAGCAAAGTCCTGCTCCCTAGATTAGCAAGTCTGTTCACAAAGATTTCATCCCCATCTTTGCCAGGTCGACATGTTCTCTAAGTTGTCTGTCCTCATCAAGTTTTGCCACAAACAAAATAGTTGATGCTCAGCTAATGCCACCAACTATGTACCCATATGTGATCTCCCTGATACCCCTGCTGCTTTCCAAGCTTTCCCTTTTGCTGTAGGATTGAAGGGAAACAATACCAGGGTTCCTATCCCCTTTCACCCTTGCTCAGGAACCCTACAGTCACTTTTGAACTAAAATGGTTTCACATCACCCTGTCTCTGGTGAACACATGAATAAGCAAAAAAATTAGAGCATTAGGTGACCCCAAACAGTCTTTTGCAATACCACAAACTGAATCTTCATATAAGCAAGACACCTCCCTAGCTGACAAGTCAGGCTGGAAGAGTCACCAGCCATGCACTGTCACTCATCACTTTCCCTTGGTAGTGCTCTGATACAGTGTCCAACCTGAATTCTTCCTCTGAGGGAGCTTGGGCCCTGCACCACTGGGCAGCCCCTCTGCTGCCAGAAGTCACAAGTTTACAGTTCCCTCCCTCGTGTCAGTGCATGCCTTCTTCCCACTGTGTCTTGTCTTAGTTGCATCTTTCCTGTCTGTCACATGCAGTTTTACAGCTGGAAAGATGTTGCCAATCACCTGTCGGTCACCCCATTGCAATAAAACACACCTGCCTCTTAAAACTGCTCACCTGCTGCTGGGGAACTGCAACAGAGCAAACACCCCATCAGGGAGGTGACTCTCAGAGCCTGCACAGAGGTGGTCACAGCACTGCTGCTGACAGCAGAGGTGGATATTACACCTTGTAGCAAGTCATCACCATTTGGGTGTTGTCTAATTGTGCAAAAAGCCTTGGGTCTCTTGTGTGTCAAGTGCCAAGTTAACTGTCTTGCCTATTTGCCCATCCCACTGCCAGCACGCCTTGGTGCTCTTCCCATGGGTGCCAGATTAAGTCAGGAACTCTTTTAGCCTTGTGTAAGATTTCCCACTTGGAAAGGAGATCTCTTGGCTGTCTGTGACTCCCTGACCACAGCCCCCTCCTTTGTCCCTGCTGGGTCTGCTGAGCACTGCTCCTCCCCATGCTGGATCCCAGTGAGCGGAAAGAACAGGGGATGTAGTTTAATCAGCACTGCTGTCACTTGCCAAGAAAAGAGGTACTGTTGTATAATTGAAAAGGTCAGTTCAGACTCTGTTTGGGTGGATTCAGCTGTCCAAACACATTTCAAGATCAATTTACTGCAGTTGTCACCCATGAATAAGACAAAAAAAGTGTAGGAGACATGAAAATACTTATTACAAGAAGTTAAATTTTCTTATTCACCTGTAGGAGATAAACTGGAGTTCAATTACTGGCTAATTATTTTAGAATTTGATTGTGTTATTTTATATAGAATATTCAAATATTGTCACTTTTCCCTATCTTACAGCTGCATTCGCAGTGCCAATGGCAGTTTAAAATTTATGGTGGATTATTTGTTGCAGTCAATAGCTGTTTGTACTAGAAAAAGGTCTTCTGCAGGAACATCACTTGAATAGAAATGTCAATGCAGATATGCTTGTACAGGCCATGACAGAACTGCAGACTTTGAATGAGGTCACTCAGCAACTCTAAATTGGCAAATTAAATCAATCCTTTTGAGGTCTAAGTGGTCAAAGTATGAGGATAAGAGGAAAAAGGTGAGAGTATATAATATAAAGAAATAGCAAGGAAAAGATGCTTCATATCTATTAGGTGTAAGGAAAAAGCATGTAGGCAAAAAGCAATACTGCTACATCTTGCAAATGCTACAGATACATTGCTTTTTATTAATCAATTGCTTTTGGATTTATGGTATACTAGGGCAAACTTTATTTGGTTCTGTCTTGGTGTCTGATGGAGATTAAGATCACTTATACCTTTAAATCAAGACTGACTCATTCTATTTATTCTTGTTGATCAGTTTTGGGGTTTTTTCCATTTGAAACGTAATTCACTCTCTAATGCTCAGTGATCTCCATCAGACAAGACTGTGATAGAGCTGCAAAGCTCCAGAGAAAAACAGGCGGCTAAAAAGTTACTTTGGCTTTTTCTGAATATTTTGAATTCAATTGCATACTTAAACAAAATCCTGCTTAATACTGTTTGTGACTTAGCTTTGAAGGAATTTTTCCAAAGGACTGGTGACCTTCTTCTGCAGTATGGTCTTCAAAGTCAAGACTGGATGAATTTGTAAACCAGCAAACAAACATATTCAAAGAGGAGAATTCTTAGCTGAGGTAGTTCCCAATACTTTGTATGACAATGTTTAAAAGTGAAGTTGGCTGTGCACAGAAGTGTTAGGATTCAATACAGATAATGGATGATGTGTTAGAAAAACAAGTGTTCCAAAATACATGGCAGTAATGCATCCTTGAGATATATATGGCAGTAATGCATCCTTGAGATGCAATATTAGGTCTCATGAAATACATCTTTTGAAATTCAAAAAAAGGTTTCAAAGGAATAGCTGAGGAAATTACTCTGGCAGAAATTAGAATTTTTCTGATTTGGTTTATTTTTTCAGCCAGTGCTGTGGTACTGTGTTTGCACAAGTGAAACCAGATAGTTGGTCTCTAAAAGAATTCTGAATCATTAACATTTCTGAGATCAGTGTAGACAGATTTCTATTTAACTCCTTAGAAGGAAAAAGAGTAGTACTAATAAACACTGTGATATTAAAACCAAACCCTATTTCCACGAAATTACAAAACATTCCAAGAACAAAGGAATAGAAAAAGTTAAAAGAGGTCTAAGCATGTCAAGGGTTAACCTTTTACTTTTACTCTGCATTATAGAAATTTTGTGGCTTTAATGCTAATAATCTCTTCATTGTAGGAGGAGGAATTAGAGGCCCAGATTTCATTCCTACAAGGACAGCTAAACGATTTGGAAGCCATGTGCAAATATTGTGCAAAGATGATGAACACGCATCTTGGTAAGTGCATTACCTTGCATTAACCTGTAAATCTTTGCAAAGGCTCTTTCAGTGTTTGTATTAGAACTAAAACAATATTTATGTAGTACAGTGCATATTATTTTATAAGCCATGATGAAGATTGAATTGATGCACTCAGTTGTCCTATCAGATGCTGCCAGACACTGTATCTTTATTCTGTCACACTTAAACTTGGAAGTAGGATAGCCACTGATGATACTAAAAAGAAATAGAGGCATTTTAATACAGATGCCTTTGATTTCTTGTATTGTAAGAGACTTGTTGGAGCTCATGTGAATTTTCAGACTTGAAGTCCATTTGCAGTTCAACAGTCCCACAGTGATACTTGATGTGTGCAGCAATAGGTATAATGTTCATAGACTTCCATTAAATGTAACATTTTCATAATCTACGATTGCCTTTGATACGTTAAAATGTTACTGTAGGCTGATAGTTCGTAATATTTGTCTCAGAACAGAAGAAATATAGTAAGATAAAAGTCAGTACATTGGGAACAGAATTAACAAATACTCCAGTCTAAAATTCTGCCTACATATTGCCAAGACAAATCAGAGAAAGTAAACAAAAAACTGCACTCAGATCAAGTGTAAATATTTTTAACCAGGTTTTGATAAAAATACTGGTAGTGTTTTTAAACTGTGCTAAACTGAACTCTGAATGTTAGTATATTTAGTTATGTGAAAAAGCACCATTGTTGAGAAAGCAGGGCAAACTGCAATTATTTTAAGATTTATTTATGGCGTGCAATATCTGAGCAAAATAAATTAAAATTTAATATTTCAGTGGGTAGAACTAAGCATATGATATCTAAGTTTGCCAGGTCAGAAGGTTTAGATGTAAAACCATGTTGTATTTGTATTTTCTTTTATGTGAGTGTTTTACTAGCCACTATTATAAGCCTAGGAAAAGTTATTAATATTCTATTACTTGAAAGATGGGAATCACAGCCTTGAAAAGCCAAGTCTAAACCTCTAACCCCGACAGCTTTAGTCTGATGTATTGTATTGCTTTTGTGAAGGCACATGACTAATGATGAGATTAGAAGCAAGCAAAGGGATAAATTATTAGCTACTGAAATGACGGAGAAAAGATTGCTGTGTCAAGAAGAAAAACTGAAGTTTCTTTCCTCTGGGAAAGAAGGCGAGGGGTGTTTAGCAAGGGTATTAGTTCCAAGCATAAACATTTCACCCACTATAGCTGCGCCAGATACCAGAATAAACCCAGACAAATCTCCTTGCAGCAGTCTGCCTTTCACCACTGGATTCATGAACTGAAAGCCTGTGATCTGTGATCATATTCAGGTGTTAAATTCTTTTCCCCGAATATATTGGAAACAAAAGCATTTAGGGCCAGTAGTCTCCCAGGAGCACTGTGGAGTGGTTTGTTACCCTCACAGGACAAGGAAAGCCATCCCTTATAGAGCTTTGGCTGCAGGTGTGCTGGGTGCATTGTGACAACCCTGCAACACTCTCAGAGCCTGCCAGCCTAGTCTCTTCCATGTCTATTCCCTGTACTCCTTCACGATATTCCTGCATGTCTTGTCAACATCATGGACTATTAACTTTGTAAATTTGTCTTACACTAATGTGTTTATATCCTATAGAGATTAACAGTTACAAGTGATAAAAAGAGAGATAGAGACAGCCTCTACACTTATAGCAAATTGATGAGTTTAGGTAAACCCAAATCAGTCAGCAGATGATCCACTTGAAGGCAGGGGAAAAAAGCCCACCAGGATTCTTGCTGATGTGCAAAATCCTGTCTGACCTGAAATCTGTCTGTCCATGCAGCACATGCTAGCAGGCTGTGCAAGAAAATGGATTCTCTGGTGCATCGCAGAACACCCCCTGAGGATTATCTCCAGAGTCCATACACTACTCAGGGCTTCAGAGAAGGCCAGAAAAATAAAACCCAAGAGCATATCTGGTTATTTCTGAAGGGAAAAGTTTGCAGGGACTGCTACAGTGCCTGATCTGATTCTCCCCCAGCTATCCATTTACCCATGAAAATAGCTTTGTTTCCGAAACTGTAGAGCAAGTGAGTTATGTCATTCCTCTTGTAAACTGTCAGAACACTTAACTTCAAGGATATTACTTCTTCCTCTGGGCCAGAATTTTTCTGACTTCATCACCCAGCAATTGGCCCATGTAGCATTTTTAATAGCAAAGTTGAAAATCCTCATTTAACGTACCTATACACAGTGATAAATAATCTCTCAGCAATGTCTTTGCTAAGTAGAGCACTACATTTCATTTTATGTGGGTTACTTTTTAAACCAGATCATTTTTGTGGTCTTCCTTCGAATTCTTCTTTATATGTCTTTCCAAGTGGGTTAATTGTATGAGGATATGCTGTACCAGCACTGGGCCCAGAAAAGTGGTTACTTAGCACAGGGAAGCTCGTCTCTCTACTCTCATGTGGCATTGCTCTTTTTTAAACATTTGTAATGCAGCATCACATTAGTGCTCTTTGATACAATGATAGTTTGAGGTGATAATATGTTATGACCTTTAAAATTTGGTGAATCACAACTTTCTAAACAGAGGCATTTATCCTGTGGGTAAAATCAGGAAATGCTTATTTCCGCTTGTGTTCCTTGTATTTGACAATATTAAAATTCACTGCTTGCAGTTTGGCATTTTAGCTGAATGATTCAGGTAACTGTGATGTACTGGGTTTTCTTCTGCCCTTCTAACTGCAGACATAACCATTATATAGTTAATAGTTGTCTAAATTGTTGATTAAAACACGCAGATATATAAAAGTTGAGAAGTCTTACAGAACTAATTCTTTCAGTAAAGAGTTAGACACATTTCTATGAGTTATGAATATGTCAATCAAGCAGTCAGGCCTGCCTTTTATATTTGATAAAATTTAAGTGCTTATTCTTAAAAACCTCCCTTTTTTTTCTAGATTGATGATGTAAACCTTTCTTTTCAGACATTATTACTCAACCAATATTCTTCTTACATGATGCATTCCATTTGAAGGTCACATTATAACAAAACAATATTAATTCAGGCTTATAAAAATGCATATCCAGTGATCAAATGCCACAAAATTATCACCGTATCAAACAATTACAGAATATTCTTCTCATGGTTTATAATGAGACAATTGAGGATTTTTTGGCTGTCTTCTCAGGTTCTTACCCTTACAGTGGGGATCCAGATGACAGTCAGGTGCAGTTACTTCATGGCACAGATGATGTGTTGTAGCTGAGAAATTATGAAAATAACCATGAAATTGCCTATGCTGTTTTGAATATGAAGGATAGAATGGCAGTTTTTATTTTGTTCATATATTCAAAGATGCTTTCATTAAATGTTTATCTCCTTCTGTAAATAAACCTTACAGTCTACAAGATGGCAACAACATAATTAACTGCTTGTAATATCAGGGCATGTTACCATGGGGATGAATGATGGTTCTGAAATATTGCTACTTAGTGCTATGGGCAGAAATTAGAAATAGGGGTTTCATTATTAAAATGGAGGAAAGTCATTTTGTGATCTCTGTCTCCGTCTTAGGGCTGTGCATTAGAAAGAGCTTTACTTTCCTTCCCTCTTTCTCTTAACCACTGGAGTACTGCTCAGGGGAAATTCCTTTTAACACCTTCAAGGACAAATGTAAAATTTAGTTTTTTAAAATGGCAGTGCAGGGAAGCAGATTTTACTGTTGCTCCCACCTGTTTTCACAAGCTTGTCATAGCTTTCAAAAAAAAAATCCTGTATTCAATTTTTCCATTATTGAAATGAAGATGCATCCAAGCTTGTAAACCTGTCATGTGGCTTTGTTTACAAAATAAATGCAAGGCATTTCTCAGCTAATAGTGAAAAAGTATAGTTGCCATAGCTATCACTGCTCCAACATCATTACAGATACATTTTCTTGATGTTACTTTCTCACAAGCAGTAGCCTTTTTTAGGAAATAATATTGTCACTGATGATTTCAGAAATATGGTAATATTCTTTAGCATTTTTCTTTCTGGGAGATACTCTACTGTTAGTGCACATAAATTCTTCAAGGCTCAATGATTCAGAAAGCCATAATACACCATTTAACTATTACAATATTATTACCTGTCATATTGTTACTTCTTTTTTGAAGAATTTTGGTTTGTTTCCTCCATTCTTGCACTATGTGAAAATAAAATCATCAAGATAGCAAGTGCATTCAGAAAAAGATTTTTCCTGGTGAGTGGTAAATGTGACATCTGTCTGATGTCTTAGAGTAGATCATTAAAAAAATGTCTAAGAGGCATGCACACAAACAGCACTCCGAGGGCCTTATAGTATCTTCTGGGAGATTCCTCTCTTGTCCTTCACATTGGACATGGGACTGAGGTGTTTGTTCAACATGAAGTCAGTCTGGAGTGTCTCAAAGAGAAAACCTTTGTTACATCCCAGGCTCAAGCCTGTTAAATGGCAGTTCAGGTGACACCAGGTAATGACACTGACACCATCTGCTATTCTAGTATCTTTAGGGTTTGGACCATGTCCACACTGGCCCACAATTAAAGTGCAGCTTCTTAAAAGTAAATTAAAGCCCTGGAGAAGTATCAGTCCATAGGCAAGTACCAGTATGAGAGATTGTGGAGGTTCTATATTAACTTGTCAGTTTTGCTCCAGAAAGAAAAGTGATGAATTTCAAAGCATTGTGTCTTTATATGTGTCAGGAGCCAATCCAATCCATCACCATTTTCTGAGACAGAAGAACCTACCATTTGTTTCCAGCAGAGACATAGTTTCAGACCTCCAAGTGTGGGAAAGTTTACCAAATAATTATACATGTAGCACAGGAAGTCCTTCTCATGAGAAGCAATTTAAAGGAACATTGGTTCAGCATTAACTTGGATATGGAGATCTTTATATAGAAACTATTTTTTTTTTGATGGGCAATTTATCAGGTTATAAAAGTAGAGAAACTAAGGTCATTCCCCACTTGCTTTTGCTTAAGGGCAGCACTATGTAAATGT